ACATCTGGGGGGGAGGAAAGCTTTCGAAGGCTAGCGCGGGAAGCGCGGCACAAGATGACGCAGAGAGGATTGGATTGTGTGTGTGCCCGGCAGAGCAGAGCTGCTGCGATGGAGGTGATGCGCGGGATCAGGATGACTCGTCGAGAGGTCGGGACTCAAATGGCGTTCGCTGTTGGGGTGTGTGTGGAGCGTGGTGCAAGGCATGGGTGGGTCCCAGCATCGCGCGAGATCCACCTTTGACAAATCACAAATCGCGCCTTTGCAGCGACGGCTCGCCGCGGACGGGTGGAGGGAAGAGAGTTGTGACTCGTCGCTGCTGAGGATGCCTGCCTGCCTGCCTGCCTGCCTCGCGCGCATGAAGCCCATGCAGCAGCATCAGTCGTCGTGTCTAGTCGTGCAGCACGCGGTGGGGGCGCGCGTTGCAGGAAATTCTGAAAGCTCGCCTTCGCACCTCTTCGTGTCTGAATGGGCACCGCCTGCTGCTGCCAAATCAAGAGGTCATTCATTCACTCTGAGCCTCTTCGCACTCATCTCGCGGGGACTGGAAAGCGCGTAGGCTCTGGGTCGTTCACAGAAGATGCGGTGATCGAGAGTGCACTTCAGTATGGAAGCTCAAGGCTCTGCAGCTAGCGGGCAACGACGGCATGAGTATCTGGTCGGCATAGCCCTGCTCATGCTCGTCGTCCTTCTCTGGACAGGTGAGGAGTCTGGACTGCAATGTCTTCTGTCAGACCATCCGCGCTCACACCTCGTGGAGTATTTGCGCCTTCATCGCCGCACCCTCAGCGAGCAATTTCCTGACGAATACCATCTTGACCGGCTCGTACAACAAACCCTTTGCCGTCACATACCTCAACACCTCCTCGTTTGCCATTGTGCGTGAACGCTATTCTTCCTCTGGGCCGCGCGCTGTGCTGAGCGTACTTTCATTTTCGAACAGTATCTGATACCATTCACGTGCCTTCATCGGGCCCGGAGGCGCAACACGAGCAGCTACTTCCCCAAAGACGAGACAGAATCGTCGTTCTGGACTCGCATTGGATTTTACATTCCTCAAAGCGACTCTTCCGCACCAGAAGATCACAGGTGAGGCTGACTACGCTTTTGAAAGGCAAATCACGCGTCTGACCTTGTCTTACGTGCGGATGCTAGAGGCCGGTACGCTCCTTTGCCAAGCGTGCACTCGGACTCCAGCGAGAGGCGCTCGGCCAGACCTCCCTCTCCAACCAGGCGCCGCAGCCATCTGAGCGCACCACGTCCAAGCAGCATCGATGGACGCAGACCTCGATCGCTGCTGGAGTCTCGACATGCTACCGATGTGTCTCGTCAACAACCCGCAGACGCTCCTCTCTCGCTCCGAGAGACTGCGATCTTGGCCTTTCAATTCACAATCGTCTGGTTCGGCGCCAATTGGTCACTCAATGCTGGACTCGGCCTGACAAGCGTAGCCAGCGGTACAACGCTCAGCTCAGCAAGCGGTGAGTCTGCTCGCAATAGCCTACATCCAAGACTGAGAGCAGCTTGTTGATCCAGTCGTTCATCGTGCCTAGGCTTCTTCACGCTGGCTCTTGGCAGCCTTCTTGGGGTCGAGACCTTCACGCTGCCCAAGTTGGCAGCAGTGCTCATATCTTTCGTCGGCGTCGCCATGGTCACGCGGGCCGACAGCGCGTCGCCTCTTGCCCACGACGTCATCTCCCATTCCATTAACGCACTTTTGGGCGACGCGCTCTCCCTACTCTCAGCTTTGCTGTACGCCGTCTACGTCACTCTGCTCAAAGTTCGGATAGGCTCAGAAGAAAGAGTAAGCATGCCCCTGTTCTTTGGCTTCGTCGGAATCTTCAACATTCTCGGCATGTGGCCCGTCGGCGTTCTCTTACATCTGATCGGCGTCGAAAGAATCGAGCCTCCTAGCGAAGTGTCAACCTGGGCAGGCATCGGCGTCAACATGGCCATTACTTTCGTCTCGTGAGCATTTCAATGGGTCGAAAGCGAATTGAAACGCTCCGAAACGCTCCGAGCTCACGCAGGATCCCTACCTGCTCAGTGATTTCGCGTACCTTCTGGCCATGCTAAAGTCATCGCCACTAGTCGCTACGATCGGTTTGTCGCTTACCATCCCTTTGGCACTCGTCGGTGACCTAGTTCGCGGGACCCATTCCGGAGGCTGGTTAGGTGATATTGGGAGCGTCTGTGTGCTTGTGAGTACTGCTCGTAGCTGTCCTCCTACATCACGCCTGCTTCACTGACGCGCTTGTCCCGCTTGTGGTCTCCTTAGCTGAGCTTTGTGGCCATTGGATTGGCAGACCATGCACTCATTTCAAGAGAGGCTCCTGCATCACATCTTCCCATCGCCGGTCGGCATCTCGCTTCGGAGTAGAGGGCTAGACCGTCCATTCGTTGTAATACAGGGTTCGCTCAGTTGTCCTCGCGGTTGCATGCTACTCTCGAGCAATAGCACCCTATGCGCTACTGCATCGCGGCCTGATGCCCGGTGTGACGCGCTCGTTCAGGCTCCGTCTTTCGCGCCAAGTCGTTGCCCACCACTGAGCTCTGAGAAGTGCCCAGGAACTTCAATGTAATCATCTTCTGCATCTGTTGCCTCTTCTTCGATGGGCTTTGCGGAACCTGTTCTTGGACTCTGCCCTTGCGCAGTCGATACAGACGGAGACTGGATCGGCCCGGCTTCACGCTGTGCTAGCTCGCTCTTTGCCTTCGCTTCGCGTGCAATGCGCTCTCTCTCAACGCGCCGTCGTACACGCTCGCGATCCTCTTCAGCTTGCGACATAGCCAGCGCCTGAAGAGCCAACATGGGCCAAGTGAGAGAATCGGTGCGTCCGAAGATGTTGTTGATGAATCAGTTTGATGCAAATCAGCAGCATCCTCGTGATCACTGACCTTTCTAGACTTCTCAGCTTGTGCTTCTCGCTCTTGCATGCCCTTGATCCTTTCTGCCGTCTCCTCCAAACTTCTCGCATGCTCATCAAGGCACTGCACAACCAATTTCAACCTCGACCACGCAGCTGTGCCGGGCCTGAACTTCTCATCAAAGGCCCATTCTTCTGTGAAGTCCCGCACGCGGGTATTCCATCCAGCTAGATGGAGCAGCTCCTTCGCCCCAGTCACGCAGAGCACCTCTTTGTGAATCTTGGGCTGAGCAGACTTGAATGAACGATACTTTGCTTCTTGAGGATGCTGCTCAACGTTGTGCAGCAGAGCGTGCATGAGCTTCGAAAGACGAGAGAATCAGTCTTGGTGCAACGGTCTTCAGGACTCTAGCACACTCACCCTTAGACATCGCGACGTGACATGAGCAGAGGCATTGGCGCTGATCTCCTTATCGAGCACCCGTTTGACCTTTCGGTGGTGATGAAGGGAACGAGGCTCTCGTCAGCGATGCTACAGGCAGCCAGACACGAAGTGCGTTTCTGCCCACTTTGAGCTTGAAGCTATTGCTGTCAAATCCATCCGCATTTAAATGAGCTTGTTGACTTTGAGAGGCTGCCCGACTGCGCTCTTCAGCAGCACGAGCGGCAGCGGCCCCCTGAGCACTCGACATCGCTCAAGTGAGAGTCTGTATGCTTGAAGTCATGTACAATGATCCTTCAACGCTTACAGCTCCAAGGAGACGCGCCGCACTAGATGCCAGCTCGTCGTCTGGCTCAACCTCACAGCAAGAGTCACGAGTGGGTGAGCTCGAAGAGCCTGTCGCGGCGCGCGCAGGTGCCAAGCGCTGATCTTTATTCCCGAGTATTTGACAAGTGCGTCAAATGGACGTTGTGCTCTGCCTGTTCTGATCTGTGTCGAGATTGGAGCGAAGCAGCTGGATGGCGAGGAAGGGTTGGTGGTTGTGTTGGACGTGGTCACGAATTACCACTACGCGCCCTCACGATCTTGAGTAAGCAAGCGGAGCAGCAGGGCGCGCAGAGATAAAATGTACACCGCCACGCGGGACTGCAGAGCCCGTGCGCGCAGTCTTCATTATCGTGACACTCTTCTCGTCCAACGTGCCCCCCTTGCCAGCCAGCTCATGTCAGCCCACACTGCTTAGACGAGCCAGTATCATACGACTTGGGGATGACCTCATTGATGGGATTGTAACAGTGCTATTGTACATGCGATCCGATGTCAGGTCAGGAGACGCTCTTTGCGACGTTCTCTGAGGGGATTGCACCCTCTTCACCGACTGCTTTGGCTGCCTCTGGCGGAGGGGCAGCTCTCTCCAGAGGCCCAGCGCCTGCTGGACTGCCAGCCAAACGGCTTCTGAGAGCGGCATACTTGTTCCTCTGGGCTTGGCTGACGCTGGGCGTGACCTTGTCCAGAGCGCTCTCAAAGTGCTTGGCGTGGATGAGCACACTGGGTAGCATCCCGGGCGGAGCATTGCCCCCTTCTCGCTCGGCTCTGCGTGCGGCCGAGAGGCTTTCTCGAAGAGCTGTGACCGCAGCTTCTCGGGTCAGAGCAGCCAAGTCTGCGCCCGAGAAGCCATGAGCTCGTCTATCCAGAGCTACGACTGTCAGGTCAATGTCGCCTGCTAGCGGACTCTTGGTCGTGAGGGTCCTCAGAATCTCGGCTCTCTCTTGAGGATCTGGCAAGTCGACGTAGAGCAGCTTGTCCAGTCGACCAGGTCGACACATGGCAGGGTCAATCATATCCGGTCTGTTTGTGGCTGCAATGACATACGTCTGTTTGCGCGACTCCAATCCATCGAGTTCCGTTAGCAGTGTGTTGACCACCCTCGCGCTCGCTTCCGAAAGCTGGCTGTCACGTCGAGGCACGAGTGCGTCTAGCTCGTCAAAAAAGATGACGCAAGGGCTGCTGTTCCTCGCCCTGGAAAACACCTGCCTGACAGCTTTTTCGCTCTCCCCTACGTACTTGTTGAGGAGCTCGGGTCCCTTGACGGAAATGAAGTTGGCTCTAGACTCGTTGGCCACCGCCTTGGCAACAAGTGTCTTGCCGCATCCAGGCGGACCCCACAGCAGTACTCCTGAAGACGCGGAGACTCCAACAGCAGCGAAAAGCTCTGGTCGAAGTATGGGTTCTACAATCGCCATGCAGAGCTCGTCTCGCGTCTCTCTGAGCGCTCCTACGTCTGCCCAGGTAACATCTGGAACAGTAGCAAAGCCCTCTCGCTTTGATGAGGGCTGCACTGATGCAAGCGCGCCGAGGAAGTCTTCGGGAGTGATTGAAATGCTTTCCAGCTGTTCGGTGGTAAGCGCGCCCTTGTGCGTGCGCAGGAAGGTCGCAATCGAAGACGATTGCAGCGAGGGAGGCAAAGATTCAAAAAATGACTGCGTTGGGATAGCAACACCGTCTCGATCGCTTGCTACGAAAGTCTCGATCTGCGCCGGAGGCTCTGTGGCTATTTTCGCTGGCTGCACCTCAATGGAGTGGGAGTGCTGCGCAGACGATCCGTCCATGTCGACATCAGCGATCTGATCGCCGTCCATGTTCACTTGGGATTGTTGTGGTCCTTCGACAGCGGTCTGTAGCGACTCGGGCGCATCTATCGTCCCCAACTCTCCCCAGATGCGCTTGACGGCTCTCACGCCCGCTTCCGCAGTAAGGGCGACCAGATCCGCGCCAACATAGCCTGGCGTCGCTTTTGCGAGCGCAGCGAAATCGAAGTCGCCGTTGAGTCGGAGCGACGAGGACAAGACTCGGAGGATGCTGTGACGAGGTGCACGGTGTCAGCAACCGCTCATCGGGACGCAAGCACTGCACATTGCAAATGTGTGTCAAGCCAAAGCGACTGGCGTGAGGCTCAGGGACTTGAATGGGTTGTAAATCGCACAATGCCTGACCGTCACGCAGGGCATCACCGCGAGGGCAGCACACTGCATGACGACTAAGCATGCGTGTCGGGTTTGCGGCCCGGAAGAATTTCTCATCATAGGCAACGCAGTGCTGTGCACTTGACAGCATTGCAGTGGAACTCTGGCAGAACACTCACGCTTCCCTGCCTTTCTCGTCCGGTACACCCAGCGCTATTTCGTGGTCGAAGCGACCAGCTCGACGCAGCGCTGAGTCGAGAGAGTCGGGTCTGTTGGTGGCACCTATGACCATCACAGGTCTGCCATCCGTCTTGTTCCAATTGAGATCTGCAAAGGAGGCAGCAATCCGCGTGAGACAACGTGACGCCTGCATTGGAAGCGAACGTACTAGGTGCTGAAGATATCACTCACCATCCAGGCAGGTGAGCAGCTGTGCCACTATCCGTCTCTCCATCTCTCGCTGAGCTGTCTCGCGTTTGGGCGTGATGGCGTCGATCTCATCGATGAAGAGAATGCAAGGAGCGATTCTTGCCGCCTCTTCGAATAAGGATCGCAAGGTAGATTCCGACTCGCCAGACGTGCCGCTGACGATCGAAGGCGCCGAGACCGAGAGAAAGGGCAGCGAGAGATCCTGCAGAGTGTCATAATGCGGCAGGTCAGCGGAGTGCCACCTCGCGGTGTTCCCCTAGCGACCATGCAGCCTCACCCCAGCTACTGCACCCGCCAACATCGTCTTGCCGCATCCAGGAGGTCCATGTAGCAGCACCCCTCTAGGCGGTGTGACACCAGTATGAGTATAGATCTCCGGGTGGCACAACGGCAGTGCGATCAACTCCAGCACCTTCTCCACAGCTGAGCTGATGCCTCCCAGATCCTTCAATCGAGTCGGCGGTGGGCGATACTTTTCCGCCAGGCGAGAGCTGCCCGCCATCGAATCGCCATCAGTACCTCCAGGGAGACCTGAACGTGTCCGCTTCGAATCTCCACGCGAGGAGCCTGATGTCGCGTCTCGCTTGGTGCGTCTTCGTGGAGCGGAAGATCCCGGCGTTGGTGAACCTTCTGCTCGAATGCGCGAGGGACCGGCTTGTGCCTCTAGTTTTCCACTTCCTTCAGGACTGGCGTAAGTCAGAGATGTGGGGGGCGGACTTCTAATGGTCTCCGGAGGACGCCCTTCGATGGCAGCAGCATCTTGTGGATCCGTCTGCTGCAGCCTGAGCCTCTCCTGCGCAGCAGCAGCAGCAGAACCGGGAGGAACCACGGCGAGCGCGCCGTCACCTGGCGCATTTGACGTAGCAGCGACCTGGTCATGCTTTGCAGACGTCGATGCTGCGGGTATGCTGCTCGGGAGCGGTGCATTGAGGTTGATCCCCCCACCTTTACGGCCCCACGAGGCCGTAATGGCTCGATTCATGGTCGAAGGACGTGGGGAGCAGACCAGCAGTGTGAGTTCAGGCTCGCCACGCCACGGAGTCGATGCAACACACTTCACGTGGCAGGAATCATACGAGGATACGCATGTACTCGACGGCAAGAGCCAGGCTAAAGATGGGGTGGTAGAGAACTTGAACGGAACGCTTGCGTCTGAGGTCGTCCTTCAGAAGTCGCACTCCACGATGAGTATACGAAGGCCTGCGCTGGTGATGATCAGCCGACGTGCAAGGCGCAAAAAATTCTTCTCGCTATAGCAGCGCGACACAACTGAGCCGCGGAGGCCGCGGATCGCGACAGTCACAGCAGAACACGCGCGCGCGCAACTGTAGACGCGACCGCGGATCACGCGCGAATCGGTCTTTTTGCGAGGCACCGCCATGACTCATGACTGATTTGGGCGACATCACTCGTCACTCGAGCTGCTCATCGCCCCCACGGGATGTCCGTGTGCCAGGCTGTCATGTCTCAGATTGACGTTGCGCAAGCCGTTGATGATCTCGATATCCGCCGTCCCACACGCGCTGTCACTCGTTCGGAATCGATGTCAATGCAAGTCAAAGACTTGAGGGTCGCTTTACCCTGAAAGACCGTTGCTCCACAA